GTGCTGCTGATGTGTGCGCTGTGTGCGTGGTGCGCCTGCGGGTGTGCGGCGAGTAACGCACAAGTCGTTGATAAGAAGTCTTGCCCGGGCGCTGTGGATGAAAAAGGGCAGTGCACTGAACCTGGTGATGCTTCTCTGGTCGATGGGTCTGGTACTCTTGGTCAATCCTCTGGTACCGGTGATTTGTCTAACAACAGCGGGTTGGAGATGAGTAATGATGTTTCTTTGTCTTGTCAACCTGATGGTAAATCGGTGAAATGTGATCCGCACAGCGGTCCGCTGGCCTGCAAGGAACCAAAGACGAAAGGGTGCAACACGTCTGGGGGTGGAAGACCTGAACTGGTATGCCCAGGGACTGGGACTACTGAGGGGTGTAATCAGGTCGCTCAACCGAGAGTTCCTGATCCCGGTGCTGCACAGCATGGTATTCCGGCCATTTCTCCTCCACATGATGGTATCCACAAAGACAGTGAAAAAGTGAGGACTTCTGGGGAAGATGGTCAAGACGGGCAGAATGGGGATAAAGGCTTGAAGGGAGATGCGGGAGGAAACGGTGACTTAACTGGCACAGAGCAAGGGACTGATTTGCCATGCGTGTCTGGTGGAGAAAACACTGCGAAATGCCCGTCTACCAATCCCTCGTCGCGACTGCCACAACAGCAGGTTAACGGTGACGCCGAAGGGCAAAGAGGCCGCACCGAGAGCCTTCTCGGTAAGGAAGAGCAGGGTAAAGCACCTCCAACAGACAACCGCGGTGCCTCTGGATCTGGAATTAGGGATGGAGACATGAATGATGCTTGCACCAATCAAGCAGGTAAGGAGGTGCCCACGTATTGCACACGGAGCACCGCTGACAAGGGTGTTCAGACTAACCAAAGTAATGATAGTGAACGCAAAGCAGATGATATTACTACAACCAATGCAAAGGGAAGAGCCCCCATCACCGACGGTGGACTCAGTGGCGGTGCGGATTCCGACGTTGTGCCATCTTCAGACCGGGTTGTCGACGGTGAAGAGTCTGCCGATGATCATCCTAATAAGGAGCAGAGTGCCCGTCCTCCTGAAGACACCGATAAAAAAAATGATTCCGATGAACCGCACGCGCTTCCTGTCGCCGCTGTCTTGAGTGCCCCCGAAGTCACAAGCAACCAGCCCAGCGACACACCAGTTGCCAACACTGCCAAAGACACGAAGAATACGGACAGCAGCGTCAGTCCTGTGTGGGTGCATGCACCGCTGCTTCTGCTGACGTTGTTTGCAGTGACGGCTGTGTGATGAGCATCGTGGACAAGTAACGTGCTTCCTCGCTCTCTCTCTGTGTGTGATTGCGTATTGCTGACGCACCCATGGCGGCGGTGTGCACACTTGTGAGCCCACCCTGCCACTGCGCCGTCCT